AATTCCACTCTAAGTTCTCGAACCTTCTAAATAAGCACCTAAAGTATGTTGTAATCTCTGGGCAAAGGCCTACGAGACAATGACCTCCTTGGTTCTAACCCAGATTTGATGTGGGTTCAGCAGTGAGTCATTAGCCCTTTTTTCACAACTCAGTTTCCTCTAGGAAAAATGATCTGTCATTCTTTCATATCTTTATATGAAAGATGCTGTGACTAGGTTACATCAGCATCTTTTCACCAGGGAGAAGTCATCATTCAAAAAGTGCAGCTCCTCCAGTAGGCCACAGGGGGTGCCGTGGAGACACAGTGGGCTCCCCCAACCCCTTCCTTCTGTGGGGTGGAGAGGTCCCCACCCGCTCCCCAACCTCTGCCAAGCCTCTCTTTCATCGGGTAGGGCCTTCTCAGGAGAGGCATAAAGCTGGCTGGCCTCACTTTGCAACAAAGACGACCCAACTGCTTCAGTTATAAATAGTATACTTCTTTGAGAGGTTTTTCTAGTCTTTGAAAAGTAAAAAAGAGGAGGAAATCCTGAAGGAGGAGCATGTGGCCTAACTTAAATGCAACCACAATTAGGCACTAGAGTTAGTACAAGCAATGATGCCATAAAAAAGGGAAAATTAAAGCTCGGTCTGTTGTGTATTAATAACTCAATCATTCTGGAAGTCAAGGAGTTCAAGCCTGTCTTTGACACACTCTCCTTTTCTTTCTGTTTCTCTCTCATACACCCACATACAAACACACAGAGAATCCTAAAAAATAAAATAGTAAAAATACTTACTACATAAAGCAGAAATACCACTATGTTCCAGCAATTGCTAATATTTTCCTTCATCGGGCAACTGGCCAACAGACCAGCAACTTGTATATAGAAAGACATATTCATGAATTGAATGCTAAGTCACATTCCCCAAAACCATAGTGTCACTGGTTTTCATTCTACATTCCACAATTTAACTTGGAAAATTACAGAGGAAATAGAAAAGGAGATTGCTTCATGTTAAATATTTAACATTCATGTGAAACAATTACAAAGGAAACCTCATTGTGAATTTTCAGGCTGTATATTTTTAGTTCATCTACTTCAAAATGGTAGAATAAACCAAGATGATTATTTACTTTCTCCGGTTGCCTAGCTTGGAAATCCCACTCTTTATTAACACAAACTGCTTATTTTCCTTGCAAGGAGAATCCATGATAATTCCTCACTTCTTTTTTTTCTGTTCTAACATCACGCTGCTGCTGACTGAAGCTATGAATGGATAGGTCAACACCATCACTTAAGCTAAATAAATGGGTAGTTTTGATGTCTCTAATTTAGGGGATTTAAGACGAGAAAAATAAAATATACACCATATACAGTGGGCTAATCCACACTCCATTTAATTAAGGTAACTGTTTGACTATCCTCCTATTCAGTGATCTCATTTGAATATCCTTTGATCATAAAGATATTTTATTTTTGCTACTATTTTAAAAATGGTACTATTAACAGAATTCAGTAACCCCAAATAAATACCAGGGCTCCTCAACAGGGGCACTACTGACATTGTGGGCAGATAAATTTTTTGATGTTGGGGAGGGGGGGGTTGCCCTGTGCATTACAGGATGGTTAGAAACACCCCTGGTTGACCCACTAAACAATAGTAGTACCCCTCCACCCCCAGTCATGATAACCAAAAGTGTCTCTGGACATTGCCAAAAGTTCCAGTGGGAGTAGAAGTGGGGGGGGTTGGGGGGTGGGGAGAGAAAATCACCAGGGTGAGAACCACAACATGTGCTGATTGGTTACAATGAAAAAGGGAGAGAAAAGAAAGAAAATGAAACTTTTTGTGTCTTCCTCTTTTTGACTGTCCAACTCTCAACAGATTTTACATGCCAATGATTTGAATTCTTCCTGTGTCTAATGGAATCACCCTTTCTAAGTCTGTAAAACTTTGTGCAGCATCTTTCAAAATCATGTGCCTCGAACTTCAAATGGATTGTTAAACAACTAGAAGTCCACTAATTCCCAGTGGGCAAACTATCGGTAAACCTTAGCATAACTCCACTTTGAGTCTTAAACTAACAGCACATGAAAAGATCAATACGAATAAATTCAAAACTAATCAGACCCCTTCTTTAAATGTTGACACAGTATTATTTTTATCCCATAAATACATTCTTGACTAAAATTCATCCTAGGAGATTGGCACTTGGCCAGTTCTATTCATATTTACTGTATTTATATAGTACACTTGGCCAAGGATAATATTTAAGACAAAATATGCCGGAGGGCATATACAATATCTCTTATATTTTTACTTTTAAATCTCCACATTGCTAAAAATATTTAGTCTGAACTTTATAAAATGTCCCACAAAGGGCTATCAGCAATCTGTAATGATATATAGCTCATTGAGTATAATTAGAGCATATTTGTAATACTTGGGCTGCAGTCACTCCCTGAACGCTAATAAGTTGGTGGTAAAAAATGAACCAGTGATCTTTCCCATGCCTTCATCTCTGGGGCTCATGACCCTCACCGGACTCACTGCAGGGAATGACAGGCACACTCCCTCCCCACAGCCACCTCAGTGACAGCTGAGTTAAAAGTTAGGCAGAAAAGTCCTAAAGAGGGAAAGCTGGCATATACGCCAATGCTGTACTTTCAATTTGATTTTTAAAAATAAGGTTTTTTTTTTCTTTTCCTCTTTTTTATTTTTATTTTTTTGGAAGGGTTTGCTATATTCCAATGTAACTAGAAAGTGCTGGAAAATCAGTTAACCTATTTTCTATAAAATTATCCAGTCCTTGCACAGTAGTAACAAACCTGCTGTTAATATGGCTGTCTGCTCCTAAATTTCCATACGGAATACAGACTTTTTAAAGCCTGTATTATTTGTATGAAAACTAGCAGTATATTTTATTTATCCTGGATGTATCGGAGGTTTTCATTTATTTGGTGGCTGGGATGAAATGGAGAGGAGAATCCACACATTGATGTTAAATGCCATACTCTGAAATCCTCCTAATAATCTAGGAATTTTTCCAGTTTGTTGATGACCGTGACCCCGGGTTGGACCATTTCAGCTCTTCAGACTGAAGTGTGCTTGAGAACAAAGAATTAATGCCCTCTTGGGTTATTTGCTGTCTCCACACCTACTCGGTAATGAGACCAGAACTCCTTTCTGTGTTATCAAATCCCTGGCAGTTTACTAGAACTTTTGCAGATAAACATTGAAAGATGAGTTATTCGGGTTCTACATAACACACTTTCCTCTCTGCCCAAATACCAGTAGAACCGGTGCACGTGCTAGAGAAAGCAAACTGACTCAACTCCTTGTTTGTCTAAATGGTTTTGGACTAATTACAATGAACTTTCTTTCCTAATATCTCCCTGGCTCCACCCCAGATAGAAAGCTTTACTTCCCGAAGGGGATAACCAGGGGTGGAGTGTATTTATCAACACTGCTGTGGATAGTGCCATAATTACAGTAATAAAATCATCCTGTTTGCCAGAATTCTCTGCATCTGTTCTGCTATACAGCAAGAACAGGAGAAGCTGCAGCAAAATAAAGGTCATCGGGAAAACTGCGGTTAGATACATGGGCTGACTTCTGAGACCATCAAGTACAAGACATGACAAGTCACATAGCTAGGACTTGTCAAACTAAAAATAAATATTAAAAAAAAGAAAAGCACCACCCTGCAATTAGAACCTCTATGATAAAATTATCAAGATGGCTGTATTATCTATTTAGCCAAGACACAGAGACTTTGCAAAGGCAGCTAGCAAGTATATAGGGCATGGAAAGGGGAGGGGAGAAGTGAGCAACCAATGAAAAGTTTACGACTTGGGATTTGGAATAGGCAAATGTTGAAGAGCTTTTTGTTTGTTTGTTTTTTCCTTTTCTTCTTCTTCCTGGTATTTAACCCCTCTCAGGTATTAGTGGATGCTGCTGCCTCTTTTCTTGTTTTGTTTGTTTGTTTTTAAGAACTCTGAAATAATTCTACACTCTCTCATCCCTTCCTCTACAGTAAATCATTTCACTCCCATTGCTACTGTATGCCAGCTGGTTTTGAGGACACTGTTCTCAGAGAAGCCAGTTTAAAAACAAAAAAACAAAAAACGGCTGTCGTCTACTCTGAGTTTTAGAAATGCATTGAAATAACTGCAGGAAGCCTACGAAAAGGCAGGAGCGGGATAACAGACCAGAAAAACGTAAGAAAAATGATGTGCTACACTGGAGTTCTGAATAAGGCAGGCTTGGGTGTATTCTGAAAAATAACGTGAACTAAAACCTTTTAAAACACAGTCAGAAACGAAGTTGTCCTTTCTGCCACTCCAGGTGAAAAGGGAACGTGGTGATAGGATTTTGCCTTCGGGTAATTAAACATCTAGTGATGGCAAACGAGACATCAAGGACTGAGGGCTTCCAGGTGGGATTCTGGAGAGGTCTCCAAACCGGGTTTTGTCTCGGCGATGCTGACATTTTTAGGGGAGTTAGAGACAATAGCGAAGGCTTGGGGAACCAGCTGATAGGTCAGCACGGAAAGGGGGCGCCTTCCGGAGAGGCTAGTTTTGAGACACTTTTTTTTAACCCCTTCGTGCACCAATTCGGCGCGCTCCACGCCAATCGGAGCAAAGAAAACAAACCTACCAAGATTCCCAAGTTTAACTCTCCCCCTGGGAGCACCTCTAGTTTGACAGAGTGGGGCTGACTCCTAGCTGGTGGCCGACTAAAGAATTTTAGGGAAGAGAAAAAGAGAATAACACTTTTAAAGGGTTGAATTGTTGGGGGAAGGGAGAGATGGAGAAAATAAAGTAGAAAGTAAACGTTTTAAAGCCTGATGGCCTCAGGCATACAGCTGGAAAGGAGGTGGACGGGGCGAAGGACAGGAGAACGGGAAAAGAGCGAACGGGAACCGCGAGAGGGAAGGGCGATCCCGGGAGCTGCTGCGGTTTTGAGAGCTCCGGGCAGCGCTAAACCTCGAGGGATGGAAGTGAAAATGAGTACTTACTTTCGGAGGGGAAGAAGGGCGGCATGTCTATTTTGTAAACCTCCTTGGCGTAGTACTCCTCGTCGCTCCTCTCGCGCTCGCAGGCGGCCGCCCTCCGGCTCGCCTTCTCCTGGAGCAAGTCCCTGGTGCTGTTGTAGATGGAAATCACCTCCGGGGGGACTTCCTCGGGCTCAGGATAGTCTTCTGGGGGACTGGTGAGCTTCAGCTTGCTCAGGATCTGCCCGCGGATCGCCTCGATCCTCTTGCGCATGAACTGGTCCATATCGAGTGTGCTGCAGGTAGACAGGCTGAGCGCGACCGTGACCAGATGCAGGATCAGAAAAGCGCTCAGCACACAGTAGTGCATTTTTTTAAAAAGGCGGAAAAAAGGTTGTTTTTTAAAAGTCAGAAAAAAATCAACAATTCTCAAAGTATAGATCAAGGAGAGTTGTTTGGTTTTGTTTGTTTTTGATGCGAAACGTTTGCAAACAATCTATTCAATGCCCAGTAGAAAAACGTATCTGCTTGAATTCCTTTAAAAATAAAAGGCAAGTAGTTCCAAAAGTGGAAATATTAATACGGGACGGGCAGGGGGAACCCTGACTTTGGAGAGTAAGAAAAAAAAAAATTCTTGGAGCAACGAGATGGGAAAAAAAAAAGAGACGAGTGGCTATTAAGCAGAAATAAATTTAAGAGGAGGAAATGGAGTTCAGTGTGTCAGTCTCGGGTGCGGAGTGGCGAATCTGAACTCGGCTCCTCCGGCCAAAAGGGAAGAGATGAAAAGGTCCCGGGGCTGGCAGCTGGCGAACTGACGGGAGGGGCGCCGGGAGCGCGGTGAGGGGGGCCGCCGAGGCTGACCTGGGCTGAAATTTATATATTTAGAGAAGGAGCGGTTCGGCCCTGCCTTCCACTGCGGCGCTAAGAGCAGGAGCAGCAGCAGCTCCGGAGCAGAGAAGCGCACACGTGTGTGCGTGCGTGTGTGTGTGTGTGTGTGTGTGTGCGCGTGTGCGCGCGCTGGGGGCGAGCCCGGCGCGCCGCGGGGAGGAGTGCGCTTCGCGCGGTGCTCGGAACTCGGTCGGGTGCAGCAGGGGCCGCAGAGGCTGCTGAAGCGGCGCGGATCCTGCTCCCGGAGCTGCGCGCAGTGGCCTACACCCGGACGGGCGCGCGCTGACCCGCTTGGTTACTCCACGTTGCCGCCGCCGCCGCTTGCAAACGCATCCAGCCTCCAGCTCCCTCCTTCTCCTGCTCTTCCTTCTCCTGCTCCAAACGCCAACCCAGCCACAGACGATCAGCCACCGCCGTTGCGTTCACCCCCTGCGGATCACAACGGCAGCCTTTGCGACACCCTGGCTGGGGAGTTTTATTCCGGAGGGGGTTGCGCAGGGGCTCCCTGGGACTCCCACCCTTTCCCAACCTCTCCTGGCTTCTCCCCAAAGTGGAATTGCTCGCTTAGGGTAGGTAGGCACTTGCCACCCTAAAATAGACCCTCTCTGTTTCCTCCAGTCTGCAGCCGGGCAGCCCCTTAGTTTGTTCCTGGATGACTCCCTAGACCGTTAGGCTAATATTCTCCAACCCCCTCCCCTGCCTCTTTCACTTGCGCTCTCGCTCCGCTGTCTCTTTCTCTCTTTCTCTGTCTGTCTATCTCTATCTGTCTCTCTCTTGTCAGGAGCTTCTGGAGCTCCGCTCGGAGCGAACCTCCTACTGCCAGCAGATAACATCACGATCTTGCCGGGGAGGAGAGATTTATAAGTTCTCTCAGAACCACGTGTCTGCCTTCAACAAAGTGACGTGCTAGGATTACAGTCAGAAGTCCTCTCGTTACTTAGACCACGAGCTCTCCCCGAACCGTTGAGGGGGTGTGGAAATGAGGACCGCTGTGGGGAAGGGAGGAAGGAGGTGGGATGTGCGCTCTGTGATTTACGGTATTTACTTTCTAGTCATTTTGGACAGGTCTGTTGAAGAACAATCAAGTCTCCCGTTTTTACTTAGTGTAGCTCAGTCACAGCCTCCCAAACTGAATCACTTGCTCTAGAATGGAAGGCTTTCCTCCTGTGTTAACGTGTGCACACATGCTTCTATGGGAGGGAACGCCAGTCTACTCAGGGCCAGGCCAGTCCTGAAGACATACCTTCTGATCTTTTAAATTCATATCCTCTAATTTTCTGGGATACCTCAACAGGCTGCCATCCTAGAGTTTGTTCTGTTAGTTTGTAGTTTACCATATAGCCTTCTGTTTGTGAACTGCTGGAAAACAGAGAGGCATCATTTTTTACCTAAAGAATAAGGTATATTTGTTTGTTTTACTGACTTGAATGGTCACCTTTGTAATTTGCTACCTAGCCACTTCCTGTATGGCTTTCTCTTCACCTTCTTGCTAGGCTAAACACTATCAACCAACTTCATTCTTTCCATAGCATTAATCCAGGAAGCTGGAATTTTAAGTGTTTGGTGTCTACTGTTCTACACTACTCATAACTTGACATTTTCTATTTCAACCAAGTCTAAATTAGATGAATACAAGAATAATTCTTACCACTGTTCCACTTTGTCTTTTTCTTTAATTTTACCTTTAGTTACTCAAAGTCAACATTTTCATTTCAGCATGACTCTGCAGCCATACTGACTAGACAGATGACTTAAACTGGAAACACTGTTGAGTTTTCCCCCAAACCCAAGGTGTCTATACTATTCCCTAGTTCATATGTTCCCTAGTTCAGAAAAGTCACAAAGAACTTTCCACCACTTTTGGAATTTATACTTTAGATGTGTATGAGGCCTAGATTATCAGTAGAGCACTGGATAAATAAAATAATAATAGCTAACATGTACTACACTTAGTAATTTGATTTGTGTTGTGTATGGTCATTTAATCTTCACAACAACCCTGTAAAGTGGGTATTATCCATATTTTGCAGATGAGGAGACAGATACAAAGAAGTTAAGTACTTTGTTTAAGAACACAGTAGGTGGGATAGCTGGATTTTTGCAGTCAGGATCCACTATGTTCTTACCCACTATGTGCCTTTGAGAAACTGTGGTCCCAGAATCTGTTCTGACAAACAGAAATTCTGGGTCAAACAAGTCTGGGAGATCCTGGGTACTCTACTGTCCTCTTAGATTCCTCATTCCGGAACATTACCATGTTAAAGGCTCTGAAACTCCTGTGGAGAACAAAACCTTTTCGCTCTTTTAACACAGCATTTTCTGAACTCCCTTGATACAGAATTTTTTCCATTATCACATATTGAAAAACTCTGGAATAAAATAACTGTTCCAACCCATTTCTGAATAATTCTAAAAATTATGTCTAAATCAGTACTAGCAGGTTCCTTTCCTTCACACCAGTTTTGAATTGAAACAACTTGAAAGGAGTTAGAAACCAGCTGCCAGCCCAGTAGCCCAAGATAAAGATAATCAAGAGGTACTACTGTCAGATTAGTAGTTTCCTCCAGTTAAGTCCTCCCTCTGAGTTCAGTTTGAGAACTGCAGTAGGCTAGCTCTACTGATTGGACAAAAGGTGAATATTCCTACACCTGTGGCCATTATAGACCTAGAGCAGGAGCTCCAAACGAGAGCCATGAGTGAAGGTCCTGCTGTGGAATACGGCTGGTTACCTGAGTTAGGTGTCACCATATTTTGCTGAGGATATAGGTTCAGCTTTCCCGCAAGCCAGTGGGCATTTCTCCTGTTTACAGACAGCCTTGTTGGTACAGACACTGATGCACCTTAAGTAGATTCAGATTAGAGTGTGGGGAGAGTAGCAAAAGTCCATTTACATCACTTCTAGGAAAACGGCCTAAGCCATAAATTCTGAGAGACACCCCTCTTCCTGACATAGACATACACACTTTTGCTCATATACTTAGTTTATTGAATACCTATTGCTCACTTAACAACACCTCAGACCTGAGACCTCTGACCTATTCATAAGAGGCTACTTTAATTTCCCCAAAGCCCAGGATGGTAAGACATAGGAGGTATCGGTAAAAGCTTCTGGAATGGGTAAGTACAGTAAGTGAGTATAGCAAGAGAGGAGAAGCCCCTTTCCACCTCTCAAATGATCAGTTCTTTGAAGACCTAACAGGCAAGATCGCAAGAGCTGTCTCCCTGGTAACTGTAAATGAATCCTTTCTTCTATTAAATAATTATTTTAATGCCTTTTCATCTCTATATTTAAAAAGAAAAACATTCACTAAATTTATGGACATCTTATGTGCCAGGGTCTCCACAGTCTTCACGGTAAAAGGGTATTTAACTGATATACACCATCTTGACTACGTCAAGGAGGCAGGAGAGCACAGTGGGTTAAAGGGCAGGCTCTAGTTATAGTTTCCTGGGTTCAGATTTCTGTCCCTTTCTGGCGTTGTGATCCTGACAGAGTTACACACTGACTCTCTGAGCTTCTTATCCTATCATGTCTTTATTTCTGTCAGGGAATTTATAATAAAAATATCTGGCCTTCACTCTCTCCGAAAAGCTAGGGAAGAACCCAAGAAGAATCTGCTTCTAGTTATGCCTCCTAGTGTTTCTGCAGGCACATTTTAAATATTACGGTATTTTGCCCCCCGTAATTATAGGAGGAAAGGACAAGAAAATACACTTTTGGTGAATAAAATGCTGAATGACTATCAAAGTTCAGTTAAACATTCACGATTAAAGTCTCTTATTAACACCCTCAAATGGAATTTTGTGTTTCCAAATTACAGAGCTAGAGGGTGCAGCTGTTTCCGTCTTAGCCATTCTCCACTCTTCAATAGGTGTATTCACTTAAGTAACGTGGAATTTCTCCAAGAGGCTGAAGAAAACAAAACTACTCATCCCTGTCCTGGACTTTTACACCTATGGATCATAGGTCCTTCCTAACATTGACCAAAGAATAACTTCATTTGTAACAATTCTGGAAGCTTTCCAGGATAATTTCAAGCATGAAAATAAGGAGGTAAAAAAAAGAAATATATGGAACAACTGTAATTGATTACATTTTCCCCCAAATAGTGATACTGGATAAATGCAAAATAACCCTTTAATATGAAAATACACCAAAAATCTTTTAAGCTTTTATTTATAATTTTATATTTGATACTACTATTCAAAAACAATGGTCTATATCAATTTTGTCTCATGTTCTGTATGCATTTCTATAAACAGCTTCATTTCATTATTCTGGTTATGAATAATGAAATGGAAAGGTGGTTTCCTCATGAAAATAATCTGATTATTATTTGTATTTAAAGGTTAATCTAAGGAAGAAGTATTATGAAAAAAGGAGGGAATGATGGGCAAGGAGGAAAATGGAAAGAGGATGGGTCTAAAGAGATCAGAGGTGATAAAAGATAAAGAGATAGCACCAAGAGAAACCAGAGCATATCTGCAGGTTGTAAGGCTTTAAAGAGATAAACTCATCACACTAATGATACACCATGGGAACGTTATCTCATCTTTTGGAATTATGATTAGTTGACTGATGACTGCTTATGGCTTTTGGGCCAGTCATATCTCTACAATTTTAGCTCTCCAGGAAAGTCTTTCTTTGGGAGGCAGTCTCACAGGGGCCTGTGCTATGTCATCCGTATAGCTGCAGCCTGTGGGGTTTCTTGACCCTGGTGAAATTCATCCACTAAGATAGCGTTTAGTGACTGACATTTAAATAAATGAACATACGGTAATAGTTGGCATACTGCGTAACACTATGGATATGTGCTTAACAAAATGCTAAAAAATGTTGACAAAAAGAAGCCAGCGGTAGTATTTTCCTTATTTTTTAGAGCAGTATTTGACACTCACCTTTACAGAATCTCTACTCCTACTTCATTTATTCTACCACCACAGAAGTTCACAGACTTCACAAGGCAAAAAGCCAGAATGGTTGCTGAGGAGAAATGGACAGTGTCTTGGCCAACTAAAAATGAAAACAAAAGATGAGAAAGAAAAATATGACTGTGTTCTCATAATTAAAATGAGTATAACAAAACTTTTTTTTTTTTTTTTTTT